ATTTTTAGCTGGGAGAGTCGTCACAGCTTCAGTTCCTGTCCCTGGCTCTGCGGTTCACTTCTTTGGCAGGCAAAAGGTCAGCAAAACATAAAGTTTATGCAAATTAGGCAATGAAAATTGCCGAAATTAACACCAAAAACCATGCCATGTGTGTGCACGGAACACCTTTAAGCGGTCGGTGGCTGCTGCTCTAGTTGGTCCGAGATGTGATATCTGAACTTGACCGATATTCTGACAGGCCAAAAACACCAGACCATGTCCATCGTGTATCGTTCATCGAATCCCAGACGGAAGCGAAGGTTAGCCGAGCATTATTTATGTTTAATAGATTTTTAGCAAATTGATTAATGGGCCAACAGCAGCCATTTGCATTGGAGGCCACCAGGGGAGCACACTGGGAGAGCGATTGGGCTGTGTTCTTAATGAGTGGCACAGAAATTACTTCGCAACTTCAGGTCAAGAATACCCAATGACTAACCAAAAACCAATCCGGTTTCATACGGCGTCTCATTTGCAAGGTTTTGCATTGAGGCGCACAGAAGCCAAAAAAACCAAATACCGAAAACTGAAGCTAAAACCGAAGCCGAATCCGAATCCGTGTAAAAAGAGGCGCCAATAAACTGCAACAAAGACGCCTTTATTTATATGTATGTAAAAACAGAGGCAATACTTTGGACAATCTATCAAATATCTTGTTGCTTCTTTGTGGGCATAGCTTTGGGAGTTTTTGAATGGCGGGGGAATGTCTCTTCCCAATTAAAAATGCGGCCAACAACCTGTTCCACAGCATTCGTTGGGATCTACTGCGATCTATGATTACGGCATACAGCCATGTGCCACACATGCCACACAAGCCATAAGCGGCTAACCAAAGACTAAAGACTTAAGACACAAACTTGCTTGAGGCCCGAAAAAAGAAATGAGTTTGTCGCTTAAGTCATTTGCTTGAACCGAATCAAATTAAAGCCCGGCCAACACTCGACAGACACCCGTGAAAAGCAATTTAAACATCCACCGAAAAGAAAAACCAAAACCACAACGGAAAAACAGCAATTAATAACGAAAAGCAAATGAACAGGGGGAAAAACAAGGGGAAAACACAAAAAAAAACACACTGCACTTTACTCACTTGCCGCCTGCATGATCAGAAAGCCAATCACAAAGAAATTCATCTTTGCAGCTTTTTCAATGCCGGAATTTTGCTGGCGATTTTTGGTAGCGAGATGATTAGTTTGTTTGTGTACTTCGGCTGCGTAGAGCGTGTAATTTTCTTTTGATTTTCTTTATATTTTCCTCGCACACACACACACACACACATGCACACTGTGATCTGTTGGTTTGTGAAAAACGTAATAAACGTTTAATAGTATTATTTTTATTATTACTGTTGAGGTTGGTTTGTTGTTGGGTTGGCGACCCGTGCTGCGGATCGGAAGTGCATAGTTGGTTTAATTAAATTTAATGAACTTATTGTTATTATCAATTATTTTTGTAGGCACGCGCGCTTGCGCATAAACGAAGGCAAAACCGAAAAAAAACCCGAAGAAAAAGCACAAATACACGCATAAAGCGGCAACGAAAAAGACACGCAAATGAGCGGGTAAACACTCTCTCTTTCCGTTTGCCGAAGAAGAAGTAAAAGTGAAGAGGAACTAGGCGGGGCGGGAGGCGGAAGGCGGAACGAGACGACACGAGGCGGGCCGAGATGATGAGATACGGCGATAAGAGCCGCGCTCCTATGCGTAGGCAGAAGAGCCAAGATGTATAATCAATAAGGTGAGGCATTGCCAGGGATTGCTCATGTGAGATTTCACTATTTTATGTGACACAAATAGAACGAGACTATCACTGAATTACAGAGGCAAATATAAAATATGTACATATGTCGTATTCTGGATTGTAGAACCCTGAAAGTACGCCGCCTCTTATTCAAAGGAAAGACCATATTGGTCCAGAATTGCCAGCGACGGAATAGGACTTGAACATTAATGAAACTTATAGCATTTAGCACATGTTCAGATATTATCGGACAGTGGTCTGGCAATCAGACTGGCTCCTTCATTGCTCTCTTGAGCATAACAACAACTTTCCAATTGCTATCACTCGCCGCTCGCTTGCTTCGACTCCGCATCGGATTGGATCGGTTTGGTTTGGTTTGTTGGTCAGCGCTCCATAATTTTCTCGGCTGTCTCTTGTTTGCTGGCTGGATGGCTGCTGCTGCTGCTGCTGCCCCAAAGTATTGTCACTGTCAACAGCAGCGGCGGTGGCGCACATGCCAACTGCCAGCCACGCCCCCAAAAACTAAAACACTAACAATCCCCAACAGCAGCGAAAACGTTGGCACGTCCAACACGGCCGCGGCGGCAGCGAATAGCGGATGGCGGCGGGCGGTAGTTCTGCGTTTTGAAACCCGTAACGTAGAAAAACATAAAGAAACAACAAAGACCCATAGGTAAAAGTTGTTTTCGATATGCTTTAATTTCGTTAACTCGGCGGCGGCCTGTGTTAATTTTTCGACCCGAAATTAGCGCAATTCGAAATTCCCGCAAACACTTAGCACTGATTGAATTAAATCAATGGCAATCAAATCATTCACTTTGGATTGATGCACTTTTAATGGCACACAGATGGGTATTCTTTGCTGGTTTCGTGTGTTATAGCACTCGTATTGCCTTGGCAAGTTGTTTTAAATAAAATCTAGATTGGATTGGTTGCCAAAGCGAAACGATACGATACGAACTAGCAACGTACAACCAACGATTCACGATCGGCGCGAGGTGTAAAACTTGTTGCTTGAGCAGCGCTTGGCTCTTTTTGAATAAGCCAAGTTAACAAATAACGATCACAGTCGTTCGGCTCAATTTCGGGTTGCAATGATGAGCCAGCCGAAGAAACCAACACAGCGGGCGCTGTTCAACACTGGCCCAACGGAGCTTTTTTAACTTGAATGTTTAAGGTGCATAGCGAATCTTTAGTTTTCATGGCTCATTGAGGGATTTGTAGACGCATTTTGAATTGCCAGATGAGTGGATTCGGTCTTAAGATTGTGCTCTTTCTGCTGGCCCAAGCGGCGGCCCTTGGATTGGTGTGGAATCAGCTGGAACTGGAGCACACGGAGCAGCTGCTGGTGGAAAATCTAAAGCAATATCTCTTGGAGCTAAGACAAAGGCATCAGATGATTAAAAAGTTAGTGGAACCAATATATCATCTATATTTATATATAGATATTAGCTAATTAATGCAGGACCCTTCATCAATTGCGTGCGGAGAGCGGCAGAGATGGTGAATTCTTTGAAATACATTTGTCGGTGCCACAGCGGGCCATGGCATTAATCCGACGTCTCCATGAAGATTGGCCTAATTGGATGGTGTATCTCAATGCCACAGAAGGAGGAGAAGGTAAATATCTAGTCAGTACGTTTAGAGCTGGGATGAAGAGCATCCTTTTCTTGTAGGCCAAATCATAGTGGCTAAAGAACTCCGTCAAAGATTGCCCAAAAGAGAAGATCTCATCCAAGCAGCTAATGATGTTCATAAACTGCAAATTACTTACAATCTAAAGCCACATGACCACTATTTGTAAGTCATATCCCATAGATTGCAAACATACGCTGTCTCATTCGTTCCCAACAGCCGTCCATTAAATTCAAGGGACTGTCTGGCACTGGGAACTTATCGAGCACATCAGAGGAACCACCAACATGCGGAGGAATGGCTGAAGTTATCCCTGAAGCTTTACAGAGCAGGCAAAACAAAAAATCGCACATCTTTTTACAAGGACGCCCAGTACGAGCATCTGTTGTATCATCTAGGAGTAGCAAAGTACGCTCAAAACCCATCGGATGGAGATGCCTTAAAGTTGATAGCCAAGGCGTATGCCCTGGCCCCTCACGATGAACAAATTGTTGACCACGCAGAATATATGCTGGAACAACGGCCCTATTTCCATGGTTGCCGTGGTGCATTTCCGACCAAATCCCATCACCACAGTCTCCACTGTCGGTACCACAAGAAGGGGTCTGCTTTCTCGAGGCTGGCCCCATTGAAACTAGAGATATTTAGCCATGATCCCTATGTAGTGATCTACCATGATGTTCTATACGACGCGGAAATGCAAGGTTTGATCGATTCTACACGCCGCAGAATGAGCCGTTCCATGGTGCAGTACGAGATCCGTCAGATCGAGATTTCAGAGCAGCGCACCTCAAAGGAAGCTCCCTTCACGGAGAAGAATGATCCACAGCTGTTGAAACGCATCTACGATCGTCTCAAGGATATGACTGGCTGTGATATGTTGAGGTCCGAGCATCTTAGTATTCTTCTCTACGATCAGGGCGGGCATCATGATCCCCATGTGGATTACCATGATTTGTATTGGGTATGAGATGAATCTGTTTTTATCTTTTGTCTATTTGTATTACAGTACTTTTGTAGCATCCGCAGGAGTACGAGTATCATCCTTTCGGAGATCGACAAGCCTCCGTTGTATTCTATGTGAGTAGATTCGGATAATTTTCTTTTGATAACCTTTCCTATATTCAGCTAAACGATGTGGAAGATGGCGGCGAAACAGTTTTCCCCAAACTGCAATTGGTAATACCTCCTACGAAAGGATCTGCTTTGATGTGGCATAATCTAAGGCCATGGGGCGAAGGTGATCCTCGTACGCAGCATGCCTCTTGTCCAGTTCTCAGCGGCTACAAACAGGGTAAGGCTGCTATCCTTTGTCCTTCGGTTTTAATATTGTTTCCCTATTTAGTGGCCATTCAGTGGATTCTACAGGGAACTCGCGATTTAGTAACCCCCAAAGATGCTCTGAGTAAACGATTGAGAAGTCTGCATTCTCATATGGGTCACGCTCCGCAGCAGTAGACCGTGACAAACTGTTTTGAAACACTAAAAATAAATGCACTAAACAAGATTCCTCACTCGAACTGAAGAATATCCCTCACTCTATGCTGGATAACGTTCGTGTAATGTGTACTTTAAGCGTATTCATCATGATATCCATAAGCTTGTTTGCGTTTTGTTTAATCTGTGGAAATGCAATCACATATACGGCTCATGAAAAGTCGTATGCCTGTTCGTCAGTGGCACTGACCAAGCTGCTGAGGGTCGAAGATGAGCTAATACGGAACCTTAAAAACTACGTGGCCAAGTTGAAGTTTAAGCATCATCTAGTGCACCAGTCAGTGAAGGAAATTCTGTGGTATACATCCAAATTTAAGCCACAATTCCTTTCAGAGCATTGAGCAGCATGCGAGCGGGAGAAAGCCAAATTAAAGCGGACTACGAGGCATACCTGGGGAATCCCCTGAACAGCTTAGGGCTTATACATCGCCTGCATCGAGATTGGGAGCAATTGGTTCGTTACACATCAGAAGTGCAGGAGAATGAAAGAGGTAAGAGACCAATAGCAAAGACTAATCCATAAATGAAAGGATATGTTGTATTTTAGAACACATAAAGCATGCACATCGTATGCGAATGCTTCTGCCCAGTACCTTGGACATGGAAGAGGCCTGTCGTGGCATCGATAACTTAGTGAGCTTCTACGAACTGCAGCCGGAAGACTTAGCCGCTGGCACTCTAGTCGCTGGAGACTCGCAGCCCGCCACCGCCTTATCTCCACTGGACTGCCACGCCTTGGGAAATTTTTGCAGAACTGATCGGAATGATAGGAGGGCTGAGGCTTGGTTCATCGCCTCATTGAAAAGATACAACGAGGAAAGACTTGAGTATTCGGTCTTTGGGTTCAGCCGGCAAACAATCCACAACTCCTGGGGCGTACTGCTCATGAAGAGCCAGCAAGAAACTGCCGCCGTGGCACACATAAGCAATTATATTAAAGAACAATATAGTGCAAAAATTACGTATAAGCGGGGCTGCAATGGCGTCTTCAGAGCTCCATCCTATCTGCACTGTCGCTACAACAGCACCACGACAGCCTTTGCGCGGATTGCACCACTGAAGATGGAGGAGCTGAGCCACGACCCGTACATGGTGCTCTTCCACGATGTAGTCTACGAGAGCGAAATCGATTTTCTGCTGAATGCCACACAGCTGAAAGCATCTCTAGTGGGTCAGTATCAGTACTCCCCTGTTCGGACGTCAAAGGAACAGCATTTCGTTGAATATAACGATACAGCAGTGGTCAAGACTCTCCACCGTCGGCTAAACGACATGACCGGCCTGGATATGATTGAAAGCGATACTCTAACTCTAATCAACTATGGCATGGGCGGCCACTATGACGTGCATTACGATAGCCACAACTACAGCGAGGCGAATCGACTCATCTTAGGCGACCGCATAGCCACTGTCCTCTTTTATGTGAGTTCTCTCTCAGTGCTGGCATCTGTCTAGTAAAAATCTCCCATTTATAGGTGGGCGAAGTGGACTCTGGCGGTGCCACAACATTTCCCTACATCAATGTGTCTGTCACGCCCAAGAAGGGATCCGCTGTCTTATGGTACAACTTGGACAATTCTGGCCAAATGAATCCCAAAGCAATACACGCCGGGTGCCCAGTTATCGTTGGCTCCAAATACGGTAGGACACAATAATTAAAGACTGTCTGTCCATTGACAGTGTCTCCTGTTTCAGTGCTTACCAAATGGATCAACGAAATACCGCAGTTGTTCCTCGCACCATGCGTAAGGAACGACACATTCAGACTAAAATCTAGATAGAAATAAAGCGGATTCATTTAATATCACGCAGAATGTTTGCTTATAGCAGTTTGTATCTGTTGTTAACGTTGATTGAACTACGAACTAGCGCTGACCGTGGCCCGTGTGCAGCGGTACTTCTGCACGGCATAGTGTGCGCCCTCCTCGGAGGTCAGTTGATCCACGAACTTCTCCAGCACAAAACGATTATTCTCCGAATTCAGCGAGTCCTTGAGGAAGCCAAAGTGCACCACGGCATTGGGTACACAGTTGAGTTCCAGCAGCGTCTCGCTCGACGGCAGCACCTTCTTCGGTGGTATGGTAAAGATATTGAACTTCTCGCTGGGATTGACCAGGAACTCTCGCACAAAGTCCTCCACCTTGGCCATCGTTTCGTGGGGCTTAAATATCCCCTGGAGCACGAAGCGATCGGGGAACTGAATGCGCAGCACACAGTCCTTGTATTGATTCAATTTGGCCAGCATGGCCTTCTGGCGCTCCAGCTCGCGTAGCTTGGCTGTCAAAAGCGGAGCATCGTCATCGCCCGCGGAAGTACGCTTAAGGTCGCGCAGCACCATTTTGAGATCGTTCACTGTCAAGTCGAAGAACGAGTCTGGCAGCTCATCGGTTTGCTTATGGGTGGCATCCAGGGAGAAGAGCACAGCCTGGCGAGGTCCAATCACGTTCACCACCGGCGGGGCGCGTCCTGGACTATCATCAGCATCATTCTCCATCTGCATCGGCTTTGCTTCAGCGTTATTCAACGAGTAGCCGGATCCACTGCCCCAATCATATTTGGGAGCCTCTGGCTGCTCATCCTTTTCGGGGGGCATTTCTTCATCATTCTGGGCATCTGAGTTTCCCTCTGGAGCAGTGCGTTTCAAGGACTTGATCATGTTGCTGGTTAGGGCAAAGCCGCCGCCACCTGTCCCACTGGTGGTCGAGCGCGAGGTGCTGGGCTGCGCGTCGTCATCCTTTGGCTTGGGTTGTACCTCCGGCGGCTTGTACACATTGGCCTGGGTCTTCAGTTCCTCTGGCTTCTTGTCAACCAATCGCATCATGGCACGTCCTTCCAGTATGCCCAGCGACTTGAGCGTCGTCTGCTCCATATTCTTCTGTCCAATCACCTCACTGCGCATATAGATGATGATAGGACTGTCGAAGGTCTTCACCTGGCGTCCACACAATTTCTGGACTACCTGCCAGACAGTATCGTTGGGGGCGAACTCGCCCTGCTCACGGGATCCGTCACTCAGCTGAATGCAGACCACAACGTTGCTCACGGTGCGACGCTTCTCCGTGGGCTCCATTTCCAGCACGCAATTGTTGGGCAAGCCGCTGAAACGGAACTGTTGCGTGAGGGACACGTCCTTGTTGTGGAACTTCAGACAGTGCTCCTCGCTGTCGTAGCCATGCTTCGAGCAGACCGTCTCCAGGATCTCCAGCAGCGTCATGTTCGCCGTCACGCTCACATTTTGTCGCCTGCCGTTGGGCAGCAGGATTGTGACGCGCTTCTCCATAAGACCACAACTTGTTTTTTTCTATTGTTTTACTTGACGATTTTTAAACTAAATGCTAAAAAACTGCAGTATAATGCCGGTCGGAACTCAACTTAACCCCCTTAAGCCCCCTCTATTTAAACAGGTTAAGATCTTGGGTTCAACCAGGGAAAATAAGATCCATTCTGGCCGTCCTGTTTACACAAAAAACCACGATATCTTTCACCTGAACTGTGCTACAATTTTTCAAGATTCATTATTTTTGTGGAGTGTTTTTTAATGCCCACTGATCGATAATGGGTTAATCGTTCTCTGTCTATGTTCGAAAATCATATTCTTTGATTTTGATACTGATAACACTGAACACAAGAGTGGCTAATTTTAAGGACTCGCTTTTATTAGATTGTCTATAAAATTACGTTGAAACAAAATTGGTCAACAAATATTATGCCTAATATTTGCTCATCCGCTATGAATATGGATATTTGTATACCCTATTTCGTTTAATTGATGCTAAAATTATGTTTTCCAAAGTGCTTTGAAACATTAATAGTGACGTTTTCTTCGATTGAAATGTTTTGTACCTATTCATTCCATCTGATTAGAGTGGTCTCTGTTAGGAGACCATTAACTCCAATATTTCGTTGAGATGGCCGAGACTGACTAGTTTCAGGATTTTTTGAAGGATGGTATGACAACGATTTCCTTCACTATATAATATCCATTTCCCTAGGCTATGCAGAATGGTTGCCCATCGTTATTCCAATTCCAAGAAAGTCAATACCTGATTCAAAAAAGAAACTCGTGACACGTGCGCATCTCTATGAAGTCCATGGCGCTACCAACCTGTTATTTGCCCTTCGATCCCATAACGCGTTGTGATAACAAGATCACGTTCGTGGAACCGCATTTAATTTAGAGAATTTAAACAGAGATCTGTTGCATTTAAGTACAAACCATGTATGCGAGACTTTTGCGCAGCGTTGGCGCAAGTGCAAGGTATGCTCGAAAGTCTCAGTGCCGCTGGGGTTCTCTTGAATCAACAGCTGGAACAGCTTCTGATTACATAAACATTGATATTTGTTGTTGTTCTAACAGGTGCTTTGCCACAGAAGCCAATGCCGCCGCCCCGAAAATACGGCCCATAAGCAAGATCCTGATATCCAATCGGGGAGAGATTGCCTGCCGTGTGATCCGCACTGCTCGAAAGCTGGGAGTTCGCACTGTGGCTGTGTTTTCCGACCCGGATGAGAAGAGCTTGCACACGCAGCTGGCTGATGAGGCGTATCGCGTGGGCGAGGCAGCCTCGTCTGCCTCGTACCTGCGTGGCGAGCACATCCTGGAGATTGCCAAGCGGTCCGGCGCCCAGGCGATTCATCCGGGCTATGGATTTCTCTCCGAATCGGTGGAGTTTGCCGAACAATGCCAGCGCGAAGGAGTCATCTTCATGGGTCCCCCAAGCTCTGCCATTCGGGACATGGGCATCAAGAGCACCAGCAAAGCGATAATGGCTGCCGCCGGAGTGCCCATTATCAATGGCTACCACGGCGAGGATCAGTCCGATGAGTGCCTGCAGGCAGAAGCCAAGATTATTGGCTTCCCGCTGATGATCAAGGCAGTGCGCGGCGGGGGAGGCAAGGGCATGCGAATTGCCGAGAAGCCAGAGGACTTTCTGACAGCCCTCAACTCGGCGCGCAACGAATCGCAAAAGTCCTTTGGCGACAGTTCTGTGCTCCTCGAGCGCTATGTCCGATCACCCCGGCATGTGGAGGTTCAGGTGTTCGCCGATCAGTATGGTGATGCAGTCTACCTCTGGGAGCGGGACTGCTCTGTGCAGCGACGCCATCAGAAGATCATTGAAGAGGCCCCAGCGGTAAGTCAGCCCCAGGAAGTATTCAATAGGATAAATAATTTAATCCCTTCTTCTGCAGCCTGGCCTGTCGGAGGAACTGCGTCGCGAGCTGGGCGAGGCCGCTGTGCGTGCTGCCAAGGCTGTGGGATATGTGGGTGCCGGAACTGTCGAATTTATTCTGGACAAGGAGGACCTCTCCTTCCACTTTATGGAGATGAACACCCGGCTTCAGGTGGAACATCCCATTTCCGAGATGATCACAGGCACTGACCTCGTCGAGTGGCAGATTCGCATTGCCGCCGGCGAGCCCTTGCCACTGAAGCAGTCCCAGATCACACGCAGCGGACACGCCTTCGAGGCCCGCATCTATGCTGAAAATCCGCGCGGTGGTTTCCTGCCAGGCGCCGGACCACTGCGTTACCTGTCCACGCCACAGCCCAGTGCCGAGGTGCGCGTTGAAACCGGTGTCCGAGAGGGCGACGAGGTGTCCGTGCACTATGATCCCATGATTGCCAAACTGGTCGTCTGGGGAGAGAATCGCTCACAGGCTCTGAACTCACTGATTGCCCGACTGGGAGAGTACCATGTAAGTGGAAATAAAGGGAGACTACTCTACTCAAATATTGATAATTTAACCCATCTTCAAGATCTCCGGTCTGGATACGAACATCAACTTCCTGATCGATCTGGCCTCGCATCCCGAGTTCCAGCTGGCCAACGTCCACACGGGCTTCATCGAGCAGCACTTTGACACGCTCTTCCCACCGATTTCGATCAGTCAGCAGCAAGTGAGCCAAGCAGCGATTGCCTTGGTGTTCAATGAACTGCAGGCATCCGTCAGCAACAGCAGCGGCAACCAGGATCCATTCGCCGCCACACCAAATGCTCGTCTTAACTATGCCTTGATCCGAAACTATAATCTAAAGGCCAATGACAAAGGTACGAAGTGTCTAGGAGGGTCCTCCAACAAGATAATATTCTGAATTCCTTTTTTTTTACAGTCCACTCTGTTGATGTCAAGTATGATGGAGAGGAGCTGCAGATACGCGTGGACAATGGTGCCTGGCAGGCGATCAAGGCTGAGAGAGTGCAGGATGTAGGACGTCTAAAGATTCGTGCTAATATAGACAGCAACATCTCCACTTATAATGCAAACATTGATGGGCCAACTGTGAGCTTGTTCCTCGAGGTAGGCTGCAAAAAACATAACCAGAGAAAAGCTCCTAACAATTTGTTTCATTAAAGAGTGGAAAACTGGACTTTGAGCTGGTTCAGCCAAAGTTTTTGAGCGCTCAGGTCGATCAGTTGGGAGCCGGAGGCTCCAGAGTGGTGGCCCCCATGCCCGGAGTGCTGGAGAAGGTGCTGGTTAAACCGGGCGATCAAGTCAAGAAAGGCGACAGCCTGGCTGTGCTTATCGGTACGTTAAATCAATCAGACTTTGGTTTGTTATTTGTTTAATTGCTGTTTTTGCTGGCAGCTATGAAAATGGAGCATATCTTGAAGGCTCCGAAGGATGCGACCATCAAATCAATTGGTGGCGCCGAAGGCGACAATGTGGCCAAGGGAGCGGCTGTGATTACCTTCGTGGATGAAGAGGTGGCCGCCAACTAGTGCTATTCCTGCGCTAACGTACCAGGGATTCAGTTGCATTTATCTACAAGTTTCTATCTATTCTGTGTTCTTTGATGTCCGCCAA